TCCACTTCGTAAACAGAAAATCGATTGTAAGATTTAATGTCTACAGTTAAGTGCATTTGCTGAAAATTGTTATAAGGGTAATATATCTTAATTTGTATTAAAGAAAATAAGCACCTAAGCACCATTTGTTTTTTAAGTACCACTTGTATGAAAGAAAATAAGCACCTAAGCACCATTTGTTATTTATTAGCTGGATTATCTTATTGGTACTTCATTTCGGGGATCTTTAATTCTGCGTTTTTAGCAAATGTAAATAAATCACTCAAGTAAAGACCCGCATATGAAAAAATCATCGCAGAATATAAACAAGCGAAATTTAATCCTCTGTGGAGAATGAATTGCAGAAAAAAAATATCAAAATTTTAAAAAAACAGCATATACTGGATATGTGTCAACAAATACACAAATTATTAACTGTTCTTACTGGTAACTTCTATTTTCTATCTTCTGTTGTCAAATGAGGTTAATTTGCAAAGATTTGGCTTCTGGAACAGAGAATCCAGTAATCATCTTTAAGACATCTTGCAAAATGAAATGATTTGGAACCACTTGAGTTGCGAAATTTAATGCCTTTTTTTATGTTTGCCTTTTGAAAAAGCGATTATAGACCCCCCGCGAAGTATTGTTTCGCCAAAATCGCGAAATTAATTACCCGAGAAATTTAAAAAAAAAGTACTCGAGAACTCAAGTAAGATGAAGATCATTGGGGATGTTCACAATGTTTCTTTTTGCCCGAAGATTGTGGGAAACCATAAACTGAAGATACCACTGAAATGTTTTATATTACTTTCTCTCCTACCGAAGAACCTAACGCAAAACATATTATCGTTCGCCTAACTTTTTCATGATTGATCAGCTTACGGGACGTTTCATATGGAAATCAGGCTTGTTGAGGAGTTTAAGTAATTGAAAATGGACCCATAGCTTACGTATGCACGCACGTGTGTGTTTAATTGAACGCAAGGGAACTCAATGAGAAATTTTTAGTGGGAATTACTTGTCTCAGCTGGGGTTGACCTCGTTGAAGTGGCATAAAAGGCTTTCCGTGTAGTTCTGTACCTCTTATACAGTAGAAATATTGGTAAACTGTGAATCTTTCCCAGAATAGTACAGTGCCATCTTCAATGGCTTGGGGGGGGGGGATACAGGGGTTGCTCGGGTGGCTCAGTCCAACCCCTAATTTCCCCTCAAAATGCTGGAAATCATGTTTCCGAAGACCTAATTTTCAAAATCTCCCGGGAGAGCATGCCCTCGGACATTCTCCGAACCCCCGTTGACTTAATCCTGAATCCGCCCCTGAATGGGAGACCATCTCAGTCATGAAAAAACAGATATACTACAAAGTCACAATTGAAGAAGGCGAGAGAAGCTCTGCCATAACCATAAGCAACCTAGACTTGTAAATTATAATCAAAACTCTCGGAGCAGAACCAAATTGTTTAACAGACATCAAAGAGCCCACACAGATGTTTAAAGCTGGTATTTGATTTATGCGCAAGCAATTGATAAACATAAAGTCTACTTTATTTTTAATTCATTTGAGGGAGCTTTTACATCCAAAGCGTCTTTTTTCTTTCATCGACAGGCACAAGAAGCCTTAAAAAATTTAACCGGTAAGTTGAATATGTAACGATTTCGAAGAAGACAAACTACTTTAAAGTTGAACCCGTTTTAGTTGCTAGCCACAAGAATGGTTATTTCCACCCAGCATAGTCCTAAATATTAATCTAGCTCTCAAATATATTATTTTTGGTTTTTGAAAGTTTTAACTTTTTCATGGTAAGACATTTCGCAGTTCAGTTTGGTATCAATGCAAATAATTCATAAGTGCTATCAAGAGGCCGTTATCTCTGGAATTAAATATTCAAAACTGTAGTAAACTGAATAGTCAATCATACTTTTACTTCCACGTGTTTTGTGAGTATTTGAATAACAAAGGATTTTGCGATCATAATTAAATATTTGGGAAGAACTTGTCAAAAATATCAATAGAGCATTTTCATTTTTCTCAGTATTCATTTACAAAATCTTTGTCAACACAGCTCAATGGTTTATTTTTTTCATTTGCTCAGACTGAAAAAAAAAAAAAACAGCTGATGACGTTTTTCCTGTACAATAAGCAATTAACTCTCTTTCAGTAGATAATACGTAGCCAGCAAAACCGGCGTGTTGTTTTTCGTTTTTAGGCGAAAGAAGACAATCGCGAAGCGGGCACGAAATGCGAGTCGTCACGCGTGAGGGGAGGAGCGCGAAAAAATTCTCGTCTGTGCTCACGCTATTATTCAAGCTCTTATGCCCTCAGGACACACTTCAATCACCAACCAATAACAACGCTCAAAAAAATGGGGGATGGCCTTTTGTGCAGGCCGCACCTGGGGCCAATATGAGAACGACCACCGGTCAGATCGTCCCACGGTTCAACAAGGACTGAGATGTAGGATATGGATGACAAATCATAGAAAAACTCCCACGAAGACATATGCCACCCACTCAGCATAAGGAAAATACTTGTAGATTCTACTCTGTATTCGCTCGAAAAAGACTGGTACGAGTGTGGTCGCGGTGTACCGTGGAAAACTCTTGCATATCAAATGTTTGGCATGTAAACGGAGAAGGTGTTCAGTATCACATAACTAAGGTCTACCAAGGCATCCCTACTAATCACGTGGGCATTTATTAAGTAACAAATAATATCCTTACCATGAGACAGTTGTAATCCCCAAATTTGATTTTAAGTTCAAGTCTTTCTATCAACATCAATCAGCGAAATCGTACGATCTTCTATACTTTTGACGTAGGCTATATATCGCTAGTCTACGTGTGGTAAGATTTACCAGACGGTTGTCCAGCGTTTAAGGTAAATAATCTCCGAAAAGCGGTTGGCTTAGGTAGAACTTCACCATGTAGGCTCCTGCAACTCAACGCCAGTTTTTCCTTACAGGAACCGAGTTTTTGCGTTGTGAATTATGCAACTTTGGACCTATTTTCCATGTTTGGTGACCTGCTCTGTAGAGAAACGCACTCAAAATGATAAGCTGCTAGAAATGCATCTTGTTGTACTGTATGCAGATAATGAGTGTGTTTGCGCGAGGAAAAGATATTCCGAGCCTTGCAATGCTCGCCCTTGATTTTTTCGGCGGGTAAATTAGAGACGGCAGGGACTGCCGAGTAAACATTTCTATGAACTGCTGCTGCCCAGCTAACCGCGGAATATGCAAGGTCTTCTTCCCAAGAATAGATGTTCTTGATTGGCTGCATTGCTATTGCAGGACGAAATATGACATACAAGTGAGGATTTAAGGATGGGATTTGAATCCAATAATAATAATAAGAAAGGTCTTTATTAAGCACTCTAATCAACAAAACGTGTTTAGTTACAATGATATAAACTGAAGCAAATATAAAACTAATCAACTAACTAGATAGCTAACTAACTAACAAGAGAACAAACATCTATTAACAAAAGTCCTCTTGAAACGTTCAGTTCTTACAAGCGGGAGAATATAATTATGGCGCCTCTTACGTAGCGTAACTATTGGTCGCCCTGGTGGGAAAAGGTCATCTAGAGCTGTTGTAAATCGCTGTCGGTGATCTTGGCCCACATCTTCTTATCTTTTAGAGTAATAATATTTTCAATCGAAAAAATCTCTTTACAGTAACCAAGCTTAAAAGTTTAAAATGGCTGAGACAGATTTCTTAGTTGAAATTCCGTTTAAAAAGGGTGAGAAACTGGATAAGGGTAGAAACTTAGCACGCACTGCGCACCTGTAACACTATCCCATCTACCTTCCTCTGACCCATTCTCATCCTGGTTTTTCATATTCAGATGTTTTTCTCTTCCTTATTTCGCGAAAAGAATTGCTTGGTTTCGGTTGTTTATTTGATTTCAAAGCTTTTTAAACTTTCACTGGAATGAAATGACTTCTTGACAACTATATCTTAATGTATCATGTAGCATCACAGCCCCCGGTTAGCTCAATGGTAGAGCGCTTGACGGATGTGCGGGAGGTTGGGGGTTCGAGCCCCGGCCGGACCAACACACAAGGTCTTAAAATAATTGAGAAGAAAATGCTGCCTTTCTGTATCAAGAAATGCCTTAGATATTCTAGTCTTCTCGGATAGGGACGAATAAATGGAGGTCCCGTCTCCTGCAGGGTTAGGAGTAGGAGACGTTAATTTCCCACGCACGAGATTACTGTGTGATGGATGTCCTCCCCTGGGGTGGGATAGGTGAGTTGTTGTCTTGCGTTTCATACATGAGCCTCTAGCTCGGGCAATATGGGTAACTATGCCGCACGTTAAGACATTAAACTTTGATTACTATTACTATTACTGTGCTGACATTATTACGTATGTACCGTAATCAGAGACGTTAAAGCCAAAATGATTCTGCAGATATTAATAGACCACATGTTCTTTTAAAATCAGTTATATGATAATGTTAACGAATGCAGTTTTTTTTATTTTCCTCTATTGTGACCGCCTCGAATAGCCCTAGCTACTTGCGGGCCCAAGCATTGTAATTTTCCGTATTAAGCTTAAATAGAATTTGTTGTTGTTGTTGTTGTAGTTTGACTGATTCAGAAAGACAGAGATTTAGAACGTCAAAAACACAGACTCAACGGCAGACTCACTCGATATATTTATACGTGTCTCCTCTATAACAAAAACCACCACAACTCGCCAATTTACAATTCAAATTGCATTTTTAGCTGCGCAAGAACAATGTCTGCCATAGAGGGCATTAAATTGTTTTTCTTCCGTCCATGGCGACCTAGCTGATCGCGCAGTACGCTTCACCTTTAGCTTTTTCATTTACTGAAAGGCGACGTCATCAGCCTCCGTGTGATGGAACGAGGCGTCTTCCACAGGAAGCAAAAAGCTGGAACATCTTAATAGCTACTTTAAATAATTTTTTCAGAAGATTCTCCCTTCAATAGACATATGGAGAAATATGACATGTTACCCTTCCACGGGCCGCCTCGGCTGCCTTTAAGGTCTTCAAATCAGCTTGCATCTATTTTACGAGCATTGAGTCCGTCTGTAGGGGATAAGAAAGACGTAAAAACATTACAAGATAAAACAAAACAAAACAACAACAACAAAAAAGTTAAATAAATAAAGTAACCTTCCCAGCACGAAAACGAACAGAAACGATGTCATGAAATCCGTTGTACACAAACGCCCCAGCCGGACCAACACTCAAGGTCTTAAAATAACTGAGGAGAATGTGCTAGCTACCTTTCTATAATATCAGGAAATGGATAGACATTCTAGTCTTCTCGGATAAGGACGAATAAACCGTAGGTCC